AAAGAAAAATTTTTAAAGTTATTAAGATTAGAGATCTGAAAATTTCGGCCCGGCCCTTACACGGTCCGAGAGGCTTTGGGCCGAACGTATTCTTTAAAGAATGATTTCGGGTTTCGGTCGGTTAAGACTCAAATTTTTAATATGATATCACTCAATTTTTTGGAAAAAATTGATATATTTTAAAGTTCTTGCAGGAACAAGGCGCCAATATTATATATTTGTAAAATATTTTTTATATTTAATTAATTTTTTTTTATATTTCGGGTCTACACATTTCGGACATAAAATAATTGATCGGGATCGGGCCGGTCAAATTTTAAAAGGAAAATCTCGGGCCGGGCTTGAAAAATTAGGCCCTATGCTGATCACTAATTTAGTAACTGAAAGATAAACCGTAAAACACTGAATTAGTTATATATATTTTAAAACTTTGGGCTGAGGATTTTTAAACCCAAGCCTTAAATTTATTTAAATATAAAACCAGGATCATAAAAATTATGTTTTTTTTATCCACCCCCGCCTGGCCGAAATATAAAATGTTTTTAATTAATCCGGACTGGGTACTAACCCGAACGATAGCTAAGATGTGATTTTTTGGCAAATACAGGGCCATCAAGAGACCTTATTATATAGATTAGACCAATATTATTTCTTTAAATGGGAGACTTTTTTTTTTGATTTGACCATGTCTTTTTATTCCCAGTTGAAATATTTTTTTAAAAAAATAATATATTAAATTATTTTTTACCTCGAAACCAAACAGCATATCAAGACTAGTGAGAATATTGTTTCACAAATTTTTTTCATCATTTAATCGAATAATTTGCACACCTCATTGCATTTTTATATTAAAATAAGTATATTATAATGCATAAAATTTAATATGTATAATAAACCAACCATGCTTTTTGTTAAATTCTAGGGGGAAGAATCATTTAAATTATATAAAATATTTATCAAACATAAAGAAAACAAATGCTGTTACAATGTTCCATTATTTTTTACGATTTCCTCATTACCACATTCTTCTATAATCATTTGATACTTAACTCAACCCTATTTAATATTTTTTATTATTATAAGTATCTATAACAGAGAAAGCTTTATTTAAAAAAAGACAGTGATGTGTAAATATTAATATAATAGTTTTTTTTCAATATTTACCATATGAACTTTTTTAAAATTGGGTTTATATTACATTACGTAAGTGTGGGAAAATAAGAAAACATCTTTTTTTTCCCCTCATAAATGCTTCTTTTTAAAAAAATTAAGAAAATAGTGTATTTTCTTTAGAAAGGGATTAATGTGGTTACACTAAATATTTATTACTCTTTGGCTTTACTCGAGGTCTGGCTTTATTGAATTCTCGTATAAAGAGAATAGATATTTATTAAAACCCTCTTTCTTTATTGAAAAGATAACTTTATTCTTTTAAAAAAGAAATTTTTTTTAAATCTTGCATAAAGAAAGGAAAAAGTTTACTCAAAATTTTATGATACCTTGAGATGATGAAGATCTTCTTATCCTGACATCTCGAGATCTGTCCCTCAACACCAAATTGTATTTTAAAAATGATATTATCAAACTATTTCTATATATTGACCCCCTCATGATCAAAAACTATATATTCTTGAGTGGTCACCACATAGATATCCGTATATGATTAATATTTGAAAAATTTTAGTTAGAAAGTTGTTTAAAATAAAATAGAATGATCGCTTAAATTTATAAAACATGCATGAAACACTATTTTCATGTACAACAGTTATAAAGGAAATATAAAGAGCGAACCAAACTGTTGAACCTTAAACAGGTTCATATCGGTTTTTTAAAAATAAATTTAAATTATTAACCTAAATTTCAAATTTTAATTTTCCTTGGGGGCAATTTAAATTCCTAATTTCTTTTCAAATTAAATTTTTTTTTACATAAAATCGCCATTATCTTAAATCAATCAATAATACCAAGTTAATTATTTTTACTTTATATACTCAATTTTAAAGAGACTAGGCAAATTACTAGTTAATTAGATAAGAAATAATCTTCATGGTTAAATTAAATAATGAATTATAAAAATATCAATTAAAAAGATTTTTCTCTAAGATTAATAAATGGTAGATGCTTAATTTTATAAAAAATAAATAAATTTATAAAAACCTAAATAAACCGAAAAGAATCGTTATAAATTATAAACCGAACTGACATGAATTTCTTAAAAAAAACCAAAATGGAACAATAATTAACGGTTTAATAATAATCAGGGTTGCCAGAGCATAATTTTCAAATCGTGAGAAAAATTTGATCAAAATATTTAAATTGCTAAATTTAGAATAAGGAAAACAGCCAACAAAATATCGTCAGCAGGGATAGGGAATATTGCTTATTTGAACTTCCCCTCTTACTCACATATTGATCTCGTACCTAATAAAGTCAGTATCGCTAATATTATGATTAGTAGAATCATATTTTGATTACAAATATTGTAAAATTGTTTTAATAAAGATATCTGCTTCGTTTTAAAAGCTATCAATTTAGGTTAAATTTTCACAATTTGAAATAGCAATTTTAGAGATATAGCCATAAAATTTATTACCACTTTAAGCTGCAAAGACAAACAGAGTTGCACCATTATTTTGTCAATTTTTATTAATAAATCTTCAGATTGTAACTACATATTGATAGAATGTAGCAAACTCGCTACATGTGAAACCATGCTTAAATATGTCTCCGCCAATTCACATTCGAATTTTTTTTTTAAAAATAATAAGATAACTTTTATCATTTTTATTAAAAAATATTTGTTTAGAGAATGATAAAATTTTATAATTATATTCGTTGGTAATTCCAGATCATACCATACGACACTCGCTTAATAGCTGAACTGAATTCATTAAAACATTTCTTAAGAATTATATCAACATCAAAAGATAATATATTTATTAAACATACCTATACTTTTTCTAAAAATTATTAATTATAGATTAAAAATGTTAAAATGCTAAAAAATTTTATGTGGGAGAAATTTTAGAATTGTGGGAGACTTTTGCCAGATATTTCAATTGCGAGAGTTATGCGGAAGGGGGGAGGGTCTGTGGGTGTTGATGAAAAACTGCTGAAAACTCCTGTTGATGGAGAGAAACCTGACAAACCTAATCATAATATCCATTAGTAATTCTGCATTAAAATAAATCCCCTGCCCGACAAATTTAAAATCATTATGCTTCGATTTAATTTCCTCTAATTCGATATCAAAATGTTCATATTAATCGAATAATTGTAAAATACAAAGGAAGGGTTTTTTTCATAAAAGACATTTTTCCTTACCTTTAAAATGATGTAGTTTCTATTAAATTAAATTAAATACTACCTTTTGTTGCGATCTTCAGTTTAAAAGGTTCCCGAAGTTTATTAGTGCCCTTAATAAATAAGGTATATAAATGATTTTTACTTAGCTACATTTTAAAAATAAAATAAACAATCAGAAGTCTGTAAAGCGATACTTTGAGTTACTTTTTATTTTATTTATAAAGAAAAAAGAACGAAAGTTATTAAAGATTTATTTGGGTTATCTCAATATAAGATCAAATTAAGATACTATAAAAATTAAAAAACTATATAATTAAATACAATTTTATAATTGCGTTCCCAAAAATGAACGAAATTCTGTCTAATTTTTTTTGAATTTTTTAGCGCATATATAAAAATTCTCTGGCTTCGTTTGTAAAAAAGCCTTATTATAGCCTAGATTTTTAAAAAACTTATATGTTAATGGCCAAAAAGTAATTTGACTATTCGAGTGAATATAAAGTTGTTAAAATTTTTGTATTTGTTAATAGTTACTGCCTGTATTAGTGTGATATTTAAGTTTGAACAACACATGTGTAGTCTCATATTTTATTTTCTGAGAGCTCAGGTATGGTTATCATAATTTCAGGTCTTAAGCCATCTACTTGAGATAAATTTGTGGGTTCAAGATAGTTCAGAATGTGGTGGCTACTAAACCTCAATTTATTACATGGTTTATTGCTGTGTGGCGTTAATGGCAATCTTGACTAAATATATAATTAAAGCCATGTATACCCTTTGGGGTAATTTGCATTTGATGCAAGCATGAGGCTGTACGATGTCACAACCAGACGTAAACTAATGGCGACTCTTAGTTGTTAGTCTGATAAGAGATTAGCAAGGTTATGACTAGGGGGATATTCTAACCATAAGTCTGTCACTGATTAAGGGAGTTGGATGCAATCTAAAGGTGGATTGATTGATATATCGGTTTGGTATTTCGAAAGAAAGTTATTATACTCGGTATAACAAACTAGAGGTAAGCCACGACTAACTTAGATTTCTCAAATCCATAAGGACATGTTAGATAAAAGATTTGTCGATGATATGGCCCCGAGCCATATAGTAGGATAGGACATGTTTTAAAATTCTGAATATTATCTTAATAAATTTATTCAGAATTTAAAATTTTTCCTGGAAGGCACTTTACACCAAATTTTAGTTTAGGAAACTTGATTAAATAGTTACCTCAATTTATCCAAGGTTAGGTTATATCTTATTCGTACATAATAGAATGCCAAATCACTTTTGATGTTTGAAAATATTTTATAAATAAATGTTAAAATAATTTAGTATTAAGTCACTAATAAATATGAAATTATTAACAGTAGAAAATTCTCATAGAATAGATGATGAATAGAATATTGAATGATGACATATCTATGTGTAAATTTTAAATGAGAAGCATTCTACTCCCAAATTAGATCTTAGTTAGTGATACTATACTGATAATATTGGGATAAGTATAGCGTATCTTCCCATATAAATCCGTAGTATACATAACATTCTCGATTAGTTTTAATTGGCTAAAATAACTAAATATGATTGTAATATGTAAACATATTTGTATAAATAATTTGGAATAGATAAATGATTTTCATTATATTTTGACATTGGGTATGTTATTGGGATATTCCTATTTTGATTTAATTTGAATAAATAAATTTATTTGGCAATATAATATTTAAAGAAACAAATTATTAAAATGATACCTAGTAAAATGAAATCATCGATATGATAATCACATGAAGGTAATTATTACACACAAATATTTAGGTATAAATATGAATTATTTAAATATTATCAGGGGAATCTTTGAAATCATTAGAGCCATCGACAAGTATCTTGGTTTTATTTTTCATGTCATCTTTTTTGGACAAGTTTCTTCTTTCCTCGTTATCCAATTTCACCTCTTCCGGGGTTTTACCAAAAACCTTACGTTCAAAATTAAAGTATCAGGGTATATATAATGTTAATTATGTTTCGTTAAAATTTGACAGTACTTAAATTTATTTAAAAAAAAAAAATATATATATATTATAAAATAACTTATATCTAACCCTGGCTCATTTTCATTTAATTTTTACTATTTCTTTAATTGAGCCCATCTATATAATAAACAATAGTAATAAAACGGCAGATAGTATAATAACCTAGACAAATAAATAGTCCCGTATTTTATCATCAGCCAATATATATTTATTTACTATGGTGAACAAGGAAATATAAAAAAAGATACATGGTCCACATTTCCAGAGTTGTTAAAGTATCTGGATACAAATATAAATATATTGCATGTATCTAGATAGACTTTAAAAACTACCTACAGCCTTATCGTGGCGGGAGATTGGCAACGTCTTTTGGCAGCTAATAGAGATTTAAAAAGTTCCTTGTGGTCTGGGTCTTGAATAGGATCACTATCCCTCGACGGGGTGTAAAAAGTATTTAAAGGGATTGATGGAAGGAAGAGCATCCGATGTAAAAATCCTTTATGATTATAACAAAGCATAGATAGAATACAACTCAAAGTATCCCATGGGCCTCCTCATACGCCTTCGACAAAAAAAGGATGGGAAACCCGGTGGAACCAAGGTGAAAATAAATCATATGATGGCCATAAATAACCTGATAATAAGTGGAGAAACCAGTTTACGGGGGATAGAGTTGCGACGAAGAATATATAAAATGCATACAAGAGACCAAATGGAAAGGTAATGGTGCAAGAAAGATTGCCAGGACAGGTGAAAAGTATAAATTTTTCTGGCAAGAAATGATGGTAATACTGTCGTTGGTGTCAAATGAGTGTATTGAACAAGAAAAGTTATTTATAATTTAAAAAAAAAAACAATTAATTTGAATATAAAATTTGTAAGGATAATTGAAATGTTTAAATTGTAAAGGTAATTGAAGGTTTAAATTGTAATCAAACTAAATGATAATTATATGAAATAATTATCGATGATATGTGAATTTTAGTAGTATAATTAGTGAGATCGAAAATATATTAAGGAAGAAAAAAGGGAGAAAGTTTTATAATTTTAACTTTATATTTTGAATTTGTATTTTTACGTTTTAGTTTTATTTATGTTATTAACTATATAATTTAATAAATTAGTTTGTAATCTTCAAATCTTGATTTTAATAATTGAACTAAACAGTTGGCGTATTTGTTGCAGAGAAATGGCTGGACAAAGTAATCGAAGTAAGAAAAATAGATAACAAGATGATTTTTGGTAGAAAGCTATTAATATTATTTCGGCAATGTTCTTCCGGTTTGAAAAAGTAAGAGATAGATATATTTTGGGACAGTCTATTGGAGGTAACATCGAGACTGGTAACATTTTGGGACAGTCTTTTGGAGGCGAAATTGGCAAATGAAAAGGGTATTATCCTGGCATATGAAGGTGATGTGGGACCGAGTGTTGTTAAACGGCTCAATTTGAACCGATTATTGATAAGCTAACTCAATATTTTAGTCAGAAACATATTGCCTAAGCCTCGAAATTTCACTAATAAATGCCCAAATATTTGTGCTATCTATGAGCAAAGTAGGGGATTAACTCGTAGTAGTGAAAACGTTGAAAAATCTATCGGTTTGGAGTAGCCCGAACGATAGCATCTGAGATCCAGCTTTTATCATCGGACAGTTTAAGGCGTTACCGGGGTAAGACTAGTGTTGTTAAGCGGCTCGATTTGAGCCAATTTTTAAAAACGGCTAACTCATTATTTCCTCTAGAATACTATTACCCAAGCCTGAAGATTTTGTTTATAGAAAAAACAAAAGTTTGAACATCTATTAGCGAAATCTCAATGCCTAGGCAATATTTTCCTCATGGCTATAATGTTGATTTAGCCGTTTTTAAAAATCTAAAGTCGAGCCGTTTAAAAACACTATAATAGTGAGTTATGAAGTTAGCTACGGCCTAAATCCGGAAAGGTAGAGAATTTTAAATTTTGGTGAGTTATGGATATGATTGTTTGCAATATAATTTTTAAGAAAGAATCTAGATGCTGGTGACTTACAAGCCAGTAGTGCTAAAAGTGCGGTGGATTATTTGTTAGTTAGGAGATGTGGAAGGAGCATAGTAAAAAATATGAATGTGATACCGGGGGAGGATTGTATTGATCAATACCTTCTAGTTATAGGAGATCTCAGTATTAAAGGAGCCAGAATGACTAAAAGAAAAGTTGTGCCAAGGTTGAAGGTCTGAAAATTGAGAGCGGAGAGTGCTAGACGTTAATTCAATATAACATTGGCGATAAGAGAGGCGGAGGTAGCACAAGTATCTGGGTAAATGACAAGTGAGAAGCCATGACGAAAGCTTATGTGAAGACAACTGAGAAGATTAGCGAAAGCTGTGGACGAGAAGTGGAGGTGTTTCAAAAAATAGTATAATAGTAAAGAAAATAGTGATAATGATATTTACAAGATGGTTAAAAGAAATGCCGAGAAATTAATAGCGAAAGCGCAAGAAGAACAAAGGCAGGAGTTTTCTAAAGAAGTGGAATGCGAAAGGAATGGTAAATGTGGTTCGGATGGCAAAGCAGATGGCAAAAAAGAGGCAGTATTTGGTAGAAAATATGGAAGGTGAAATGGTGATTAGGGTTTTAGAGAAATGGATAAGGGAACAAACGAAAATTGATGAAATGTTGTTTAGTTTTAACATGGGAAAGAAACGAGAGCTGCAATTTATGTGGTTATCTTTCAAAGAAAAAGAAACTTTATTATGCGTTTGTTGATTTGAAGAAAGCATTTAACAAGGTGCACAAGAGGCTACTAGAAGGCCTTGAGAAAATCAGGTGTGGAAAAATGGTTGGTTATGGCTGTGATGGAAATGTATATGGAAACACAAACTGCGGCTACAGACGGTTGATGGAGATGGTGAAAGCTTTGAAGAGATGGTAGGTTTCAGGGATGTGTGCTGAGTCAATTATTATTTATCTTAATAATGGATTTGGTAACTAGAGATGCGTGAAAGACTTCCGTGGGAGCTATTATATGCAGATTTCCTTGTATTAATGACAAACAATGAGGAATAATTGAGGGATAAAATTAGTAAATGGAAATGGAAGTAAAGGGCCTGATGAATGTAGTAAAGACAAAAGTGATTATTTGTGGGGATTTGAATATGGAGTAATCCGGCAACTGGTCTTATGGTTTATGTGGGAAAATAGTTGTTAGAAATTCAATCCAATGCACCAGATGCCAGGTTAGCAAGAATGACCTTTATTTGCAGAACGTGCATAAAAGGGCTACATAATACTGATAGAAAATGGTAGTTTAAATATTGGCAATGGGTTATTCCTGGGAAGTGGAAATGTTTTGCTATTGGGTGATATGCTGTGCAGATGGTGGTGTAGATTCTGCTGCTGTTGCAAGGGTCAAACAATGGAATAAGTTCAGATTGTCTATTCTAACAAATAAAAACGCCTCTCTAAAATCAAAGGGAAAAGTTTACATAAGCTGTGTGAGGAGTTGTTTAGTTTATGGTGGTGAAACATGGGAAATGAAAGTGCACGAAATTGGAAAGAACATATATGAGGACGATTAGAGGGATGAGAACAAAAAACTAGTGAGGAACTGCAAGCCATAATGGGAATAGACGTGATTGCAGTGGTAATGCGAAGAAATAGACTAAAATGGTTTGGGTATTTGAATAAAGCAAAAGATGACTAGGTAAAGAGATGCACCTTAATGGAAATAGGAGGATCAAGACCTAGAAGAAGGCTCAAGATGACGTGTATAAGGGTGTTAGCGGCGGATAGAAAATGAATCTTACATATATTGATGCTCAGGACGGTCAAAAAATGGAAAGGAAAATCAATGGGAAAACTGGCCAACTTGAGTTCATTTCATATTTTATTTTACGCAATGGATGACGATTGTAAAATTTAATTATTATAATTTATTTTATTTAATCTAATTTAAAAAATATAATTCATAATTTTGGATCGATATTTCTTAACAGTCTATGAGAAGAAATCAAATAATTTAATAATAGATTTTTTGGGCACCCCCTTAGATGATATAAATATTAATATATAAGTTTTGACACTAATCAAATTTTGAATAAATTTTTAAAAATGAGGAATTTAATGTTATATTTAATGATTATACCAATATAAGGTTGTTATTCATTAAATATAATAACCGCTGCCGTCAAATTCCTCGGTAGAGGGAGTTTAGTATTTATAAAAATTTACAGAACGAGGGTGCCTTATGAGAAAATTTTTTAAATGTTTTATTATTAAAATTTAACAATTATTTATAATAATTTTATTACATTTTTTATATGAATTATTAAAATCTAACAATCATTCTTTTAATTACATATCAGTACAGCTTAATATTTTTTCTTAAGCTAATTTCGAAATTTGAATTTTAACAATAAAAATTTTAATTAAGTATTATGCACACCTTAGCTAAGTTAAAAATTTTATGTCCAGATACATTTTTTACAACGGTATCCATAACTAGATCCATATAAAAAGCATCTTCAACTATTCATTATTTCACTTTATCAATAAAATTGCACAAATGACATGGGGGTGGGGGAGGGGGCTTTTTGTGTCTGGAAAAAATTAAAGGTCTAACTTGTGTTTTTACTTTATGTCTAAAACCGCTTTATTTTTCGTAAGGAATATTGTATAAAGATGCAACTGTCCAAAGTTTGGTTGGGTACTTATTTCCCAATATTATATTGCTAACAAAAATTTAATCAACTTTTGACGTTATTAATTTACTTTTATTCGTATTGGCATAAAAAAATATATTAAACCACCTCCACCTCCTTCTTTTTCTTTATAATTTTTGTTTTTGACAGAATTTTCACCAAAAATTTAATTTTTTTATACCTTATTCATTACGAAAGCTGATTTTTTTTCTTCATCAGTCATAAAGTATTGGATCATTTCGTCCGCCATTTTATTTTTTGTCTCGGGTAGATAGAGATAAGTGAACAACCAAAATATAGCCAGTAGCGCCGTGAATATCAAAAACACGTAATCGCCTAATCCTACCTTTTTAATTTTAGTTTTTAGTTTTAATTTATTTTGTTCATTTTATTAGTGTTTATTCTTCTATATCTTATCATTATTTTCTTTTCCCTTCTCCTATGTATTTTATTTAAATGTTAATTATTGTAACGAAAATTTTAATGTGAATATTAATTATTTTTTTTGACTTACAAATAATAATGGAAACAATGATCCCACAAGAAAAGTAGAAAACCAATTAAAAATTACGGATAAACTCATAGCTTTAGGTCTTGGACCAGGAGGGAAAAGTTCGACTGATATGAACCATGCTATAGCATCTGAAATAGTTATATGTATAAAAAAGTGTTATTAATATAAATCAAACTTAAAACACTTGTTTAAAGCAAAATGAAGATTAACCCCACCTTCAACGTTAGCGCGAATTCTCTAGCTAACTATATAAAATATGATGAGAAATGTGCCATAAATGGCCATGTGGGAAAACTGGCCACCACCCTTTAACTTATTATCTATTGGACCAATTTCTCTCAAAATTGGTCTAAATGTGTATATTTATGATATGTACCTTACCAGTTCATTTAATGAATAGAGCAATTCAATAAAAAAATATTTCATTTTATATAAATATTATCCTTATGCATTTAGCATTATTCACACAAAAAATTAGACTTTAAAAGCTTTATTTAATAGACATATAAAGGCGCTTAATAATAATAGAGAGGTGAGTATTGACTGGCCAATTCGCACATTCACATACATATTAAAATGAAAAGCTCTTGCAAAACAACATTTGGTGAAATAAAATGATGAACAAGCTTAAGAATGTTCAGTAAATTAATTTATAATATTATCATTAAATAGATGTGGTAATAAATTGAGATTTTAATAATACTAATTAAATTAGTGTATAATTAATCTTTTATACAACTAAAAAATGTAGAAACATTAACATAGGTCTTTTACAAGTATTTCATATTGTATTATTTCATATTTATAATAAAATTCTTAAATAATATATTATGATAGTAAGTATTGACTGGCGAAAAACAACTTTCACATAATCTCATTCCATAAAGTATTATTATACATAGAGCTTTGATTCAAATTTTATTTTAAAGATTAATATTTAGGCTAAACATTGATATTAAACTTTAATACTTTTTTAAAAAAAAAGCAAAAACATGTGGCACATTTCCCCGCTAATTTGCTCTAACTGTGAATGCAGGGTAACACTGAAGTAACTAAGTTAAAAAGAAGGGATTTCATATTTGGGTAATTTAAATTTTTAAATAGTTGCTTTAATATAAAAGACAAGTGATTGATGTTGAAAAATATTTCTTAACTTATTTCATGATCGTATGAAATGGAATCGGTGTTTTAAAATTTTATAAATAGCTCTGAGAAAGGATACATTCCTGCAATTTTGCCATTATAAATCAACTTAAATCAAAGATTTATTAGCAATATATATTTTAAATATTTACTTGGTCCAATAGCACAAAATGTCACGAACGCCATTACCAAAAGGATAGATATGTAAGCACACCATGGATATGTTTGCCCTAAAAAAATAGGTAAAACAAGTTTCATCGTTTATTATGATGACAGAATTATTAATAAGAAACCAATCGAGTTTGCTTCTTTCACGCGACGCTTAAGACATATTAGTATTTTTTTAGGGTTTAATTACGTTTTTTTGAAATTCAATATTCAAGAGTAAATTTATTCTATGAATTTTAAAATTCTAAATATTACAAATTACAAATTGGCATTATATTCATTATTAATTGATAAATATAAATTCCAGAAATGTTAGAACAATTTTCCATTAAGTTACAATGTAAAATCTTATTAATTTTGGTCATATAAGGGATACTGGGGCTAGTTAAACCGTGGGATGTGTCCCACAATTTTAACCCATTTAATCTGACATTTTTCGAAATTTTTTTGTAGGCATTTCAGTATTTCTATTTAAAATACGTTTCTTATAAATGAAATGTATTTTTATTTATATTCGAACACATTTTTTCGAAAATTTACCTAACCCTGCCAATAGTGTTGATAAATTACCCGATTTGGATTAATTTAAAAAAACGGCCGATTAAGATTTTAGCCAAATATTATGTAAGCCTGAGATTTTGCTAATTTTCGAATCTCTATTTGCCAAATCTAGAAGCCTGCATAATATTATTGTATCTAAAATCTTAATCGGGCCGTTTTTAAAAATCGACCCAAATCGGCACGCTTAACGAAATTACTAAGTGAACATATATTAATTCAAAAATTGGAGCAATATTAATATGAATGGATAAATTAAAGTTTAAAATTTGCCTAGTAGGAGGAACACTGTAAGTAGAATAGTACAGATCCACATGCCACCCAATCCTATGAGAAATAGGATTCTCCTTCCAGCTTTCTCTATGATGATCATTGAAAATATAGTTGCTGCTAAATTGAGGGTACCTATACCGCATGTCGCGTATACAGCATTGCTAGCACTCAAGCCTGCTTTCATGAATATACTTGTCGAAAAAAACATGACCTTTTTTAGATAAGATTTTGTAAAATATATTTAAAAAAATTTAAGATTATGTCAAATAAAATGATCCAAAAATGGCGATAGGAAACTTTTTAAATAGGTTTAGAATTATAGAAGAAGATAAAGTATAAAAGCTGATAAATCATATTTTAAAGAAAAAAAGGAATACGAATTGACTATTCATTTTACAAAATGTCTAATTTGAACTCTTTTCTTTATTGATTTAGCCCGATTTTTGTAGTATATTCTATATTTGCTGTTTATATAGAATTGCAAAAGTTAGAGTAGCTCAAATTAGAAGATAAACAAATAAACACTGTACATATAAATTATAAAGAAACAGCGTTTATTCCGGACAGTTGTTGAGCCATATGGCATCTAATAGCTACAGCCAGGGCTCTTCTGTAAACAGGAAACATTATCATGTCCTTCCAAGATGTGTTCACTATTTTCTTTTCATTCTCTGATTCTTGTTTCATCAATTCCAATTCCTTTTCCACTTGCGCGCCATTTTGCGGCCTCAATTTGTATAATGCTATATGTTTTGAAATACATAGACATAGTTTTAAAAATTACAATTCATTTGAAGATATTGCTTAAAAAAAAGGTTTTTTGTTTTATATATTTTTCTTAATATAAAAAATTCTGCAGATTTGATAAAAAATGCCAACGAAAACTGGGTGCTTTAATAGATATTTCAACCAATGATGTTTTAAAAGGGATGGGGACAAGTAGCGTTCCTGAAAATATGAAAGTAATATACCAGGTCCCATAAGTAAAATAGTGAGTAAGTCCGTGTCATTAATCTTAAGAGATTTTATTGGTTTCAACCATACCATATTTTATTAAATTATTATTAATTGCATTGCATCGGAAAGTTATCCAAAAAAATTATATAAACTAGCTTGTTTGATTAGAATAGAATAAAATAAAAGAGTATGATTAGGGTTTGTCAGGTTACACTATCATATTAACAGCTTTATTGGCAACAATGGATTTTTCATTTATTCTTGACTATATTATATTCCATAAAATATATCGAAGCACCAAAACGTTAGGATTGATCTTAAAATAGCGGAACAAGTATATTTTTTATGCAAAAAAAAATCGAAATTTCTTTAACTAGCTTTAATAAAATGAATAATACCTATTAATCAATTAACAAACAAAAAATTAAATTATAATGATGTGAATTATATTTAGGATAATTTCCTTAACAATAAAAAGTAAAAAAATAATAATTAAATGGAACCTGATCTGGCATCTTTGAGGTCTCGTTTAGCAAGTAAATAGGGCGGGCTTTCTGGTACCAAAAACAATAAGCCAGTTTGTAATAAGGCTGGTGCAATGCTTAAAGCTTTGTAAGGTTTTTTTTTACATTTATATAATAGAATAGTTTCAATAAAAATCTCATCATAAATTAGTTTCCTTGAATATTAGTATAGGTTTCGTAATTTGCCCTGTTCTAAAAATAGGTAATTGCAATTGTAAAACGTTTTCTTGAATTAGAATCGAATTTATTATAAAAATTCTATAATAAATTCTTCAATATCGTGTGAACGTGATTTTTTACATATTTAGCAAACAAAAAATATATTCTTAAAATAAATTTATATTTATTGAAATAATATTTTTACAAAACATTATAGGCCATCCTTTGTCATTTCCCAGAAATTGAGGGAGCCCCAAAAATTGTGCTACAAGCAAAGACACAACTATTCCTAATTGATTGACACTTCCTATAGCTCCTCTTAAGTTGACCGGTGAAACATCGGCTAGATATATGGGGACTGCTACTGAAGATACTCCTATATTAAATAATGTAATATTATGTAACTTGTTATTAATTTGTCTCAAATTCCTGATAAGAGGAATTAATAGAACTGATAAAGTAATTATATGGGAATTAAGAGTGTAAAAGATTGAGCAGTTTTGACCTAGAGATATCAATGTTAATATAGTTTCCTCTTGAAAGAAAAATAATTCACAAGAGTTCCCGGAAATAATAAACAGTTTTCAGGAGCTTAACCAAATGAGCCGACAGTGAAAAACTCTCTGAAGCGACGAGGGCATGGATGCAGACTGTTCTCAACTAAGACTCGGTAATTATTTTGATTCATGTTTGATCCCAAGTATGGTACAAAATTTCTGAAACCAGCCTTCTTTAACAGGTAGCCTGAAAAAAATTTTAGCCCCTCATTCACAGATAACGCGAATTCGTGGCGAAATATATTAAATATAAGAAAGAAAAAAAGAAATAAAGATTTTTGCGAATTCACGCTAACTGTGGATTTCGTGTAAGGTTATTAAACCAATGTTTAAGCTTGTATTGTATTCCAACTGAACTATACCCTATTTGGCAATAAATATATCAATTGTAACAATAATTCAATAAATTTTATAGATTGATGGAATATTTTCTTAAATTATCATTAAATTCTATAAACAGGGTCTAAAGTTTTGTACATTCAAAGTTGGACAAACAAAATTTGAACTTTCCAAAATGTAAAAATTAATTTTTTATTATTATTTTTTATTAAATTTTACAATTCGATAACAACATGAAATTATCAACATTTAAAATTAATTTGAGTCAAATGTTGGCTGCAACTTATTTTTTTCATTTTAAAACTGCAACGTACACATTGTTTAAATTTACATCTCATCCTAGATTCCTCCACTTATCATAATTTTGCAGGAAAGATTTTTTTTTTTTAAATGGAATACCATGATTCTAAAAATTAACTGATTGTTTTTGATGAAAGTTACTGCTTTCCACATATTTTAACTATTAAATATACCTCCGCTTTTACTTCTGATATGATATCATTTAAATTATTTTGATTATCATCACCTTGTAAAATGCCTAATTTTTATATTATACCCAATGCTAGATGCTCCCCTTATATTGTGGATCCAATAAATAATCAGCTGTGTTAGCACATTTATTTAGATTATTATTTTTTTTCAAATGTATCTTTAATTTTTTTTTTTCAGGTAAAGAAATTATAAAATCATAGCATGATTGGATTATGTGTTTTCCAAATTCAAATTAAGTATCTCATTTTTTACGTTTGCACTTACAACAATAAGATAGGTATTACATTAAAGAATAGTTTAAAATTTTTCGTCCAATTTCTTCATTTAATATGTTGCTAATTCCTTTCGGAAAAATATCCAACTTATTCAACAGCTGCTTTTAGAGCTTCCTTGCATATTAGTATTTGCTTTTACATTCAATTGATGATGTCAATCTTATTTGGATAATTGTACATATATAAATCAGCTTTCTCAAACCATGCTTAAGCAAAATTATTATATCGAGATCCAATCAAATTATTACTGAAAAATCTTTATTTTTATAAAATGAAATTCTAGTATTTTAATATAATATTATAACTAAATCGATGCCTAGATGATACTAATTTAAATATATTGTAACATAATTAGATTTGTAAACATGCTTTGAATACGTATTGGTTAATTAAATCCTATATTTATTCACCAATAATATTTTAGAGTATTTGACCATATTTAACTAGGCCAAATACTACATCAGTCAAATGACCTACTTGCCAACCCTGGTTATAACAATACAACCGCGCTCCTATTTGACAAAATTAAGTAAAAAGGGTAATGATAATCATTATATTATACCTGCATTGAATCCTATAAGTAATCGTCCCAAAATGATCATGTAATATGATTTAGCAGGTTTTGCCGAACCCATTAACACTGCTCCAGAGATTGCCAGTAAATTATTTAACAATAAGCATCCTCTCCTAAAAAAAATAAATTTATTTAAAAAGTAGTATATAATATATTATATTATCTACTATAATGCTATTTTCTCAGTAGTTATCACGAAAAGTTGATTAAAATTTTCTAAAGTTAAATTTAATTTTTTTAAAAGTAAATTTATAAGTTCTCATTCAACTTAAAGTACAAACTACAAACCTCTAAAATTAGCTTTACGGAATATTAAAAGTTACAAAAATATTGTATTGACACACCTAAGATCATATACTAGAATATATTCGCGAACGGAATATTTTGCCATAGGATTTTCCATCCTATGTTTATCATTCTTTTCAAGAGGATGGGAAAATTATTTATGAAAATTTCCTGTTAAATCTAATAAAATCAGAATTCACTTTCTTTTTTTAAAACAAAATCTTTAATACTTCTTTTATTTCTTAAAGGAAACGTGGTCGAAGTAGTGTTGTTAGAAGGCTCGATTTGAGTCGATTTTTAAAAACGGCTAACTCAATATTTTAGCCAGAAAAATATTGCCCAATCCTCAAGATTTCGCTAATAGATGTTCAAACCTGTGTGTCATCTATGAGTAAAATCTTTATGTTTTTCTGAATAAAACATTGAGTTAGCCGTTTTTAAAAATCGGCTCAAATGTCGAAGCCCCTAAATGTTTATGCTCTCCGTTGATAAATACTGACTATCCGATAGCCAGTGTCTATAAGATCCGGAGGAGTGGGGAGATAGGGGTGGTTAGTACCAAGATGCAAATCAAAACAACGACCTAATAAAATAATGATTATTGTAAAATCAGTAATTATATTGTAAATTAAACTATAATAAAAAAATTCTTGTTAATTTAATTAGATATTCATGTGTTTATTTTATGTTGAGTGCTATTTTATACAAGGCCAAGATACTAAAATTTAAAAATTATCATATATTTGGATTTTATTTCTGCTATAATTTAATAATAAACTGTAACTGTTACATTATATTAAAAATAAAATCGTGTAGTAGGAATATTTCTCACTGTTCCTGAGAATCTTTTAGCTTTCGACAACTCTGGTATTGGACCGAATGACAAATCTAATCTTCCGGAGAACTTTATACCGCCACCACCAGTCAATCATTCGATGGTGATAATACTTACGACCATCAATGTTCTGGCCACATAGATACAAGCGGACATCTCCACCTCCACCGTTTGCTCTGTCGCTTACGTAATCAAATATCGCTTCTTTTAACCGATGACGAGAAGGGCATCATAGACAACGATGCCTTAAGCAGGAAGCACTGCACATGCACATATAATTATTCTGCCGCAAATCAAGCTACCGATTTTCCGCGACGTATAAACTTGCAAATTTTACCAAATGTGAAAAGGTGAGGAATCATAATTACTAGTGCAAAGATGTCGAGCCAACAAGAGACACAGGCAGATCTCATGTTTTTTTAACAAAGTCGTCAATCGTATGCACTTCAAACATGATAATCCCCGATTCCTTCTCAGAGCGAGTGAAGATTCTCGTCATGAGCAAGAGTTATTGACTCTTCCTTCATGGTACAATTCTTAGTGGAGAGGAAGTTCTAATAGCCGATCGGCCTTTTTGAGATGTCCGGCAGACAGAACCACATCATTGTACCGTTGGAAAACATATAAGGAGGCGCCTGCTCCCAGGGGCAAGGAAAAGAAATCAATTGGCTCACAGACACAACTTAAACACTCTTTCTTCTACAAAACAAATTTTTCTACTAATTTTTACCCAATTGTCACCTCTATCATTAATACCCAAAGGTCATTTTAAATAAAATGAAATATTTTGGGTATATTTTATTTAATGACAATAGATTAGTTTAAATTTACAAATCTGTGAACTATGGATAATTTGTTATATCTTTAATCATATTAGTGCTTATTTATATTTACACCATAATTTAAGATTCAATAAAATATATTTTGTTTACTGATAACTCTTAATGGTAAAACAAAACAATAACCTTGAATTTAAATATTGTATAATCATTAATTATATTGCTAAATTATTCTGAAATATAAAAATTGTTTATTATTTTAATTAGGTTTTTATTCACTTTGTGTGTTTTTTTACACTCAGTGCTATTTACAAGGTCAAGATACTAAAATTTAAAAATAAACATATACGTGGATTTTATTTTCTGCTATAATTTAATAACTGTTACATTGCATTATATCAAAAACAAAATCGCGTGGAATAAATATTTCAATTTCAATTTTCAAAAATTGTTTTGGCAAAATAATTTTAAATTTAATTGAATCTTACTCCAAGTTGAAAGTGTGTAAATTGGAAAATTATCATAATAGAAGAGGATACATAAATAAGTAGTTTTGATGATGTAACTCAGCGATTATACCATGGGAAAGGGGGGGGGGGTAGAGGGTTAAAAAACAGATTCGTCAGATAATCCTCAAAAGGAATTCAAAATCCGTAAAAAAACTCAAGGTTAATTTTGATTGATATATACAATTAGTCCCATTGAAATAAAGAATGAAATCTATATTGGATTACCAATTTGCAATGAATCTACTTGGTAATCTCAATTATATACTGCTAAAGACTTCTACTCCTGGGGGGGGGGGGTAACGCTAGATTGTATTAAATTGGCGAAGTAGGTAGTTATATGGATGTCGTCATGTGAATAAAATGAGGGGGGGGGGATAGGGGAGGGCATATTTTGATTTGGTTTCCATACTTTTACTAATTTGGAGTTCCTTTTTTCTTGTTATATTGATCATAATTTACTACTTTTAAAAATAAATTTTGATTTGATAGGAATGTAGTAAAATTTTAGATAGGTACGAAGGTAAAATTTTTGAGGGGGTTAATATTGTAATTGGCTTAAGGACTTTAACTATAACTAATTATATTTTGAAAAAAGGAATATAACTAGTTACATTTAAATTTTTTATTCTGATTAGATTACCTATACAATTTTAATGTAATATTAAACAGATTCATACCTGTACAAATGAGAGAGCGGTTGGGGCAAATTAAAAAGGATAAAACTTCTATTTTAAATCAAACTTTTTGAAAAAAATTCTTAAATAATCTATCAGTAATTTCCATAAGAGATATTTTCCAGCATGCTTTAATTTCTGACTAGTGTTTCTTCAACTCACTTTGATGTGAATATTATATTTAATATATACTTATTAACTCGAATAGCCTTGGATAACTAAAACGAAATCATAAAAAGAAAACTTACATCATAAAAACTAGAAATAAGGAAGCTTCAGATGAAAGTATCACTTTTGAAATTTTGTTTTTATGTAAATTGGTGGACAATTTGGACACAATTTTTTTTATCAAAATATTTTCAAAAAAAAGCATTTTTTTTGTAAATGAAAATTGAATGTGGACGCATTCGATTTTTGTTAATGCACGATGAAAGCCAACTAATTTGTTTTTTTCAAAAATGTTTACAGCACGAATTGAATAAATCTGTTTATATATTGTAAGTATTTATTAACTGTCATTGTCGATGGAATTTATTATGATGGGGAAATTTTATATATACGCTTATAAATTTTTAGAATTAATGAGGGAATCATCGGGGATAATTAAGGTTCTCTGACATTGACATCATAAATAATAAATCTCCACATTGCAATGCTTCTAATAATTTAATTTTACATATAGGATATCCTTCAACTTATTAGATTACGAATTTGTGATGAAAAAATAGTTTTAATGTCAGATGATGATAATAAACATTCAATTCTCTGGCTATTAAATTATTTGAAGCATAGAAAAACAAATGGGAACAATTTATCCTTTGCACACCTTCGGAAAAAACATTTCCAGCTAAATTATATGGAAACCTCTTTATCTTAAACTGAATAATTTTTATACGTAATTAATTTTTTATTTAGAGGTCTCACGTATTATTACACAATTAAATAATTTAAAAAATTATCTTTTGTAAAACATTAAGATAAGTATAATGTAACTATTATATTTGAGTAACTGTATAACTAATTACATTTCATGTAACGTAACTATGCCATGTAACTAGTTTTTTTTAGACAAGAAGATAACTTTTTAATGTAACTAGCCACTTTTGAAAAGCAACACAACAACTCAAAACTTATAATAATGATATATTATTGTATATACCTTCCATATCTCTGTGTCAGAGTCCCTCCAATCAAACCTCCAAACATTCCACCGATGCAAAATATTCCCACCGTGAATCCCCATAACAGAACAATATTTACTTTTGTAAGTGGTTTGCCCGTCTTTTCATAGTGGGTTTCATTGTACCAAGATCTTAGTATCTATCAGTATCATTAATATTTTAGAACACTTCATTGATATAATATTTTGATTTTTTTTTATAAAAAACCATTTATCTCGTTAGGTAACATAACTATGCTAATATTAATTCAGAGGAATAAACTTTTCCAAATCCGATCAATCCAAAGCGATTTAAATTGTACTGGGCCTAACCTCAGCCGTTTAATTTTCAAACCAAATCACACCTTATATAATTTATTAATTACATTCTATTTTTCATTAAAATAAAACCTTCATTATTTTATTTTATTACTTTTTATGTTTCATTTTCCTCTTACTTTTTAATTTTATATATTTTACCATTTTAATTTAGTGAATTTTCTGCTTATAATAAGACACGAATGATAATAGTTATAAAAAAACTCGGGAATTTTTTTTTCCCATAATTATGTTTTAAAATAAAAATAGGTTGAAATTTTTTGACTTGTAACCCCCCCCCCCCTTCCCCATTTATTTAAAAATTTTGTTTAGCCCGCCCAATTAGGTTTGATTTTATATTTATTTTATTTTATTATCTTTTGAAATTAAACTTATAAAATTTCAATATTAAAAAATAAATAATTTTTAATAAATATAATCGTCTTGCCTAAGCCCTGTAAAATATTTCTCCCGATCGCCACTTGTTTTAAAAATATTTTTAACCTACTCACCAGATATTTAATTTTTTTAAACCCACTGGTTATGGTCCTCCCCTTCAAACATATTTTCTTTCATGTGTATATAATGGCATTGACGTTTTATTAAACGGTTTCTATTGTACAAAGATTTTAAATTAAGTTTAACTGGTAAAAAAAAATGGCGATGTTATTTTGTAGCACGGTTCAAAATAAAATGTTTAATATTGTGACGCGACTTGGTGCTGTATTTCAAATACATTATTAGAACTTATAATTGTTATAAAGCCCTTTTAGTCACATACTGCTCTATTTCAATCTAGTTAGCTGAATTAAGAGGTCATTTTATCTTTGAAAAAAATCATTATGTATGAATAATAGGCCTTATAATTATTTAAAAAGCTATAAATTACTAAAATTTGGAATTATTTGCAATTATTATATATTATAAATTCTAGATATGTTTATATACATATTTCTTTCATTTATCACTAAACTAATATCATAATTTAAATCGCAGAAATCGAGGACACGCGACGAACCACTTTTATTTATAATATGATATAAATCGAGATAATCAGAAAGACAAAGTCTTGTAATATATTTTTATAGACCTATTTATCTATTTTATAATATTGGCTGATAACTATTTTGTGAATCGATACCTTTTCCCCTAGTATTACCATTATCTGCCAGCATCATCCAAAATAATTTTAATAAATTTGGTTATAACATGTTATATAATTAAAAACGAACCTTTTCTGGAGGGTTGACCACTCCTATCGCGTAACCGTATTGGTATGAGCTCATTACAATTACCATAACTGTCCACATTAAGAAGGGTGTTAGAGAACTCTTATCAGCAGTCTATGACAGAGTTTTATTTTTTTTCAAAATATATTAAACATATTATTAGATTCATTTATAAGTAAAAATAATTTAAAAAATTTTTTTCATAATTTATTTTATGTTGGTTGGACGGGGGATAGTAAAATGTGCATTTTAACGAAGTAGTATAATGCAACATTGCATTATTTTTATTATCGATATTTGGAGTCGCCTGATGTTTTTACAAATTAAACGCTAATGTATATAAAAATATAAGTGCGAAAAAATGAAACGGTTAAATTATTGGAGTATACAATTGGACATTTATTGCTTTTCAATATTAAAAAAACTTAAAAATTAGAAAATGGGAAAAGTCTGTCCCCGATCTCGTCTGGTCCCAATCCATCCCCCAAAAAATAGGTCTTAAAAACGGTGATCCTTTATAATGCGACCGAAAGAAATGTCCTTCCTAAGACAAAAAGATCGATTTTCCTTACAATCCTACCCAAGAAATCATTGCTAAAAAATGTCTGAGGAAAAACACAGGATCTAAATAGACGGACCATTCTCATTCTATATTTCGAATGGCGCCACATGAAGCATACAAAATAATAATTTATTTAATTTTTATTATGCCCCAATTGATGGTTATATATAATATATTATATATGGACAATCAATTTGAAATTTGTCGTTTTTATTTTAAGGTATAGGCCAGAATTTTTTTATAGCCCTTGATGTTCAAATATTTTTTTCCTCGGGGATATATAGCGGAGACTGGGGCACAGCGCACCATATTTTATAAAAATTCTTATAAAATTTATAAATATTAACAATTATTATTGCCCTTACCTCAAATTGTAGCAGACTAATCGATGTATCTATTTAGTTTTTTGGGGTAATTCTATTTCTATTTTTCAAGGCAAAAAAGCCATACTGGAACAAGTAAGATAGGATCGCACATAAGATATATATAAAAAAATAATTGAATATCTTTTTTATTGGTAAATATTATGAGAAATACTTAAAAATTTAAAATTTTATAATCAGAAAAATATTAAATAGTTATAATTTAATGATAATAATGGTTCTACGTATGCCGGTCTGAAGTGTCACTAGTTCTCAGTCGGGATAAAATATAAAATAAAAAAATATAGATAATCTTATGATGTAAAATTCACATATATGATAGAGGAGAATTTTCATTTTATATATTAAATACATGGTACTTAATCTTATTAATCTAACTCTAGAAGAAATTAATTGAATATATTTTTCAATTTCAGGATAATAATATATATGTGAGAATCTTAATGAGCCGACCTATGACAAATATTTTTTTATGGAGAGGTACATATCAAATGAAATGAAATCTTAGATTTAATTCGTTTTAAAATAAATAGAATTGAACTCATATGCCTTTTGATTCACTGTGCCCCGGTCTTCCCTACTACATTTTATTTTCCAGTCATATTGATTATATATCTCCTCTTCAAATAACCGCATCATAAAAATTTATTGTTTCTCAATTCATGGTTTTTTAGGTCTCATCCGCCACATTCTTATTTTCAGCGGTTCTCTATTGCATTATTCCTGATGATCTTATCTTGCTATTATTGTTATGTTATTTGCGGTAAATCAATAAAATGGAATGAAATTGATTATTTATATTTAACGATGTATAAATTTTATTTAAAAAATTAACCCTTTACTCGTTGCTTATAAAATACTATTTATATTGGATTAAATCCCTTAATATATTTTGTAGGTTTCTACAAAGTTTGTAGTCTAGTTAATATGCAAGTAGGAGTTTCAGCGTTAGATCTCAATCTAGATTAGCAAAGGGTATATTTAATATTTAATACCCTTAATATATTTTATCGATGTAAGGAAAATCATATTAAGATTTGGGAGTAAAATTATGATAACTTGTAATATCTAATCTGTTTAAAAACAGGGTAGTGTATTTGACTGGTCAAATATGTCAAAATTCTAGCTTATAATAGTAAAATGAATCCATAATATTAATTTTATAATATTTTTTTTAATTCATTGTCATTTAATAACTAATGTTTCACTTTCCGTAGTAGAGTCTTGATCTAAAGCATATTCAATATTATCATTTTCTTTAATAATCTTATACAATTTTCCTATTGTTAAGATTTTCAATTGATTTCTATTTTAGTAAGAATTAACCCAAATCAACCAATTGGTTTTGAGGAAGAAGTAGAACTAGGGATTCTCTTAGCAAATTGTCATTTCTATTGGGTTTGGTGAGTAAAGCATTCTAACTTGAAACCGGATCCGATTGTTTCTTATGGTAGTTACCTTTCCACATAATTTACTATTAAACATGCCTCTTTTATTTCTGAAATTTATGATATTACTTGAAATATTTTGATCATTACCACCGTGTAAAATGTCTAATTCTTGTATTATATCACATACTTCATTAAATTCACTACTAGTAAGATGCTCACTTTGATATTGGGAACCAAATAAATAAGCAGCATTGTGATCACGTGTATTTATATTGTTTTTCCTTTTTCAAACATATTTTTAAAATTTTTTTTCTTCAGCTTTTTTAGGTCAAATACTACTCCGATTAATTGACCGGCCAACTGACTGAATTTGACCTGTCAATAAAGCGACTTGCCAACCCTGATAAAATATATCAGGTGTCCTATAAGTTATCATAATGGATTCACTTGCCTATCATTCAATATTATTTTATTATCATTTACTCTGTAGATAAAAATATGATGTTATAGTTATGTTAGAAAATAAAATTGTATAATAAATAATATAGAAAGGAAAATTACTTAATAGGATTTATAAGGATTTAAAAATATAAATAAATAATTGTATTTTTATAATAAAATTTAAGCGCATTACTCGTTACCTTTCATTAAATTAATAAAAGCGGTTACTAATAGAGTTATTTTTTTCTTCTATATATAGTAGATGTATAGGAATATCCTTCCTTTGCTGATTTTCATATTTTTGCTTGGACATTTATACTCCCCACCATGCGACGACACTAGTATGGCTTGCTATTAAGAATTTACTTGTAATCGTTCGAGAATAATTTCAACTCTAAATTCCCATCATACTGCATTGACATCTGGATTTCTTTTATCTTTAAATTTATCAATACATCAGATAAGGTTAAAATTAGTTCAATCTGGATCTTATGATCTTGACCTAAAATAGTCTGGGACATAAAGCACTTTGAAATAACATTCTAAACTTGAAGATAGAATTTCAAAAATATCTCACGCGAAGCGAAATAAATACTTTCGGTGTTATTCAGGGACATCTGCAAGCACGATTCCCCTAGGCTAATGATGCTATTACACCCACTACCCCCCCCTTAAATTTTATTCTCTTACTTCCTTAAAAAAATTTCTTTTACTCCCCCTCTCCCCAGAAAATTTTAACCCGTCCCTGACCCCTTTCCTATAAAATGCAAATTAGAAAAAAAGGCGATTCAAATCGAAATTAAAAAGGAAATCGAAATAAATAAAAACAAAAGAAGATCCAAATCAAAACTCCCCTCCAATTTTATTAAAGGACACTAAAGGTCTTCAATCCACCTTTAATTTTAATAAGATCTTGCGTGATACGCCTACTTTTTTTCATTCTACATGGTAGTCTCTGTCTTATGCTACACCACTTGTAAGAAAAATTATAAAGATTGACATTCATTTATTTCATACTCTCAAACTAAGTAGCATATTTTTTATATCTATCGATATACTAATGTTCCACATCTACAATGTCTCGCATATAAAATAGATTTTAAAAAAATCTGTATATAACAACTAAAATTTAGCGGGAAGGTGGTGTTATAGACTAATGTGAATATGTTTAAGTTTAATTTAGAATATAGACTATAAAAACTATTAAAATTAATCAGTATTAAAACACATTACCAAAAATTTAACAATATTTTAAGCCAGGGACATAGCCTAGAGATTTGTAAAAAAATGAATATTATTAGTTTTCCCATATTTAAAAAAAAAATTATATGCCTTCCATATTTGTATCTCAAAATATTTTTTGCCGAGAAGTGATAGAAAGGATGTTTAAAATGATGTAAATACATTGGCTGTATCCTCGAAACTTTAATAAAAATAAAAAAGTTATTTTAAACAAAAATAAAAACATGTCTAAATAATATTTCCAATATTTTTTATAAATTTACAAATTCAACATTTCATTTAGATTGTTCTGGTTTCATCTAGTTTTTAAATTTTTTTAAAAAGTGATTCTAGTTCCGGCTTTCAGCAGATTGATGTCGCATTTAAGGTTTCAAGGTTCTGGTTCAAAACTCTATTAATAAACAATTTTAAAATAATTATAAATAAACCCCATTTAAATAAGTGACATAAATTTACTATATATCAGAGACCTGCAAGGAATGGGTATTATTTTAATTTTTTTAAATATAACTTTTTAAAAAAATACCCCGGCTGGGGCCATATTATAACCGAATATTTAAAATTAAAAATAAATGTAATATATTTTAAAAAAATCCTGGCCATGCAAATGACACCTTTGCAGGTCTCTGATATATAATCAATGTTTTTTTGAGTTCCAAATGTTATTATTTTTTAAGCTACAAATCATTTTTTGAATTCTTTTTTAGATTAAATAAATGGAAATTATACCTACAAAAAATACGAATCGAATTAAATATTTGTATTATTCGTATTTTTGAATCGAATATCGTTCGAATATTAAAAACATTATTTGATTTGATTCTTTGAATATTCTATTCGATTCAAAATTATCTTTACAAATATTTTCAAAAAATTTTTTGGAATGTATTTTTGAATTAAAAAATATGTGATTTTATCTTGAAAGATTTCTTGTACATGTAAATTATAAAAGGTTTACTTATAAAATCTTCTTTTTTTTACTAAACATATTTGGAATTTTGGATAAAATTTTATAAAAAATCTTTTTTCTTTAAAAATTCTTCAAAGATTTTTACTCAAAAGATTTTTATTTCAATCTATGGAAAAATTAGATTATTTATTAACATTTAAAAAGTGATTTATAGATGTAAAAATAAAGTAAAAAATAAAATCTTCACTTTTAAATATTTATGAATAAGTTTTAATATTTACTAATTCATTTATTCGTATTTGATTCAAATTTTTGAATCGAATAATTTTGTTATCGTTAAATACGAATCGAATCAAATAAAATCAAATCGAAAAAAATCGAATAGAATATCGAACGAATAATTTGTTTTCGGTATACTGGGAATATAATCTAACACGTGTAGACGTGATTTTTTAGAATATTTTGCCATGAAATTTTGATATATTCTATTTTTCCATAGATTTTTTTTATATATTATATAAATGATTCAAAAAGTAACTGCTAAATTGTTTGATATTCGTATAATACTGGACATTCTGGAATACATTTCCGGTAATATCAGATTTCAAAAATTTTTTAAAAACGTGCTAAAAAATGATTTTAAGTGGAAAAAATAAGACACATCGATGCTAACAAATTTTTTAGAACTGCTTTCGGTTCCTGGGAATAAAAAAAATGTGGTTCAAATAGTCCCCTTATATTTTAAGAGAGGATTTCGGGTTCAGGTTTATAGATTTGTTTCCGGTTCTGATGATTTGGAATCAGTTTTCGGTTCAAAACTTTGATTCTAAGATAAGAAAGAGATCATATAATAAAATCGAAGACAGACCCACTAAAGTTACATTAGGGCCGGTCCGTTTTTAAAATTTTTACGCCTGAAGCTTCTTGTTAGAAATGAGCTTCTTGGCCTTGCTAGGTTTTTTTTAAAGGCCCAGCCATGATTTCCAGATTTTCTTCCTTTTAAATAATTTGGTAATTGTATATTGCTTCATAAGGTAAATAAAAATGCAAAGAATACGCGATATTCTATTCGTTAAATTTTTAAAAAACTCCGGTTATTTAGGCCTGACCCGGGTTTTTATATTTTATTTTTTAAACAAGCCTTAATCAATATCAAATTTCGGAAAATAAATAATTATTACCTTCGAATTTGGTTCATCGTCATGTTGATTCTTCGATTTATTTAACAAAGTAAGATTCATATCCACTTCTTATACTTTAAAATTTCGAATTTTATGACAAAATTAAATTGCTATTTATATGTTTATATTTTTTTTAGGAATGTTATTCTAAATTCTTTTATATATTTATTTTTGAAAAAATCAATATTTTAACGAATGAATGAATATAACATCTAACTGACCAGTTCAAAAGTCATATGTGCCAAAAAGGGTTAGTTTATGTATAAACTATGAAAAATCAATAAAGAATATTAAATATAAATAAGAATAAGAATACTGTTTATAATATTTTTTTTTAAAAAAGTCCTCAAGCAATTTTAAGATTAGTAGTTTTATTTAACTAACGGGATAGGCGGATTTATTTTATTTAGACATAGGCGATTTTTATATTAAAAAAACAAGTATTTTATTTATTTTTATTTAATAACCTTGGCATTTACACAGTCAAATATTTACTTACCAGGAACATATAATCAAAATTATTATGCCTTTCAAAATCGCATAATTAAATTCTTTCTTTCTTTCTTTCTTTCTTTCTTTCTTTCTTTCTTTCTTTCTTTCTTTCTTTCTTTCTTTCTTTCTTTCTTTCTTTCTTTCTTTCTTTCTTTCTTTCTTTCTTTCTTACTTTCTTTCTTTCTTTCTTTCTTTCTTTCTTTCTTTCTTTCTTTCTTTCTTTCTTTCTTTCTTTCTTTCTTTCTTTCTTTCTTTCTTTCTTTCTTTCTTTCTTTCTTTCTTTCTTTCTTTCTTTCTTTCTTTCTTTCTTTCTTTCTTTCTTTCTTTCTTTCTTTCTTTCTTTCTTTCTTTCTTTCTTTCTTTCTTTCTTTCTTTCTTTCTTTCTTTCTTTCTTTCTTTCTTTCTTTCTTTCTTTCTTTCTTTCTTTCTTTCTTTCTTTCTTTCTTTCTTTCTTTCTTTCTTTCTTTCTTTCTTTCTTTCTTTCTTTCTTTCTTTCTTTTTCTTTCTTTCTTTCTTTCTTTCTTTCTTTCTTTCTTTCATTCTTTCTTTCATTCTATAATAGGATATTCCTCAAAGAATGAATCAAATAAAATGATTCGTTTGAATAGAATCTTGATGGGTAATTTATTTATAAGTTTCTCAAACATTTTTGAACACAAACACAAACAAAGATATACCGGATAATGTATTTATTTTTATCTTTTATAATTTAAATAAATCAAAATGATTATAAATTTCTTTTCTATTATATATACTTTTGCGATTTTTATATTTAGCTGTATTATATTAGATTTTTAAATTTATTTGGCAAAAAAACCGATATTTAGTTAATATAAATCATTGTCTACTAAAAAAGTAAATCCCAATATTTTTTGGCAATAATATTAATAAAATCTCATATTGTTTTTTTAAAATTTACAGGCAATACGAAGGTTTTTTTAAAATTGACGATTTAAATAAAGAAGATACCACGTCACTTTATTTCAATTATATCAGTCTTCAATTGGCATGTCCTCAAACGGTTGGTGTGTCTTCATCTCCTCTATTTTTGTAAGAAATATGGGGTCACTAAAAATGGATAGTTTATTAAAACTGAACTCCAAGAAAGGGGACCTTATTCAAACCGGTCAGAACAGAACATATAGTTGCCAATCACTACGTGAAATAGTAAAGCATCACTACAATGATATTAAAGTGCACCAAAATTATAAGGAGGGAGGGCGGATATGTCAATGAGCAAAGTTCTTTGAATAACAATGATGATAAAAATTTTATTTTATTGCATTTGCATAAGTATATATGAAAATTCATAAAAATTAATTTTAATAATTATAACGGCCCAATAAGAATTTTGGAGAAGAAATATAGATGTACTCATATAATGAATCTCTTTACGTTACTCATTGAAATATGAAAAGATTTTATTAAGAGAAAAATTAAAGAACAATAGGGATGTATAAGTAAGAATTGTAGAAAAAGCCATGTATGGAGGGCGTATGGTTATTGATAAAAAGGAAATTGGTTAGTTCTCCAAGGAGAAAATCTACTGAACTTGCAATTAGAGGAGAGTCTCAATCTTTTTGAAGGAAGCGTGTTGGATGAAATGTGTTGGGTATTATATGTTTGTCACATGTGGTAAAGCTGGGCGATGATATGGATGAAGTGCAAAGTTCGTATTTGTTGGTATTAAGTGATAGTCCTGATATTGGGGCAGGTTTTTTTCTTAGGTTACCTTGTTGTATGCTTGTTGTGATTGGATAATATGTCAAATTTGAGGGCAGATGGGGTATAATAGCAGTTTAAAATGAATTGTATATATTGAGGATAACTTGGATGAAAGCGGGTATGAACAATTTTCTAAGGCTACTATTAAAGCTATTATTAAAATCAAGTTTTAAAATGTAAAGGTTATCATCTGCATTTTAGAATCTAAAGAGTGGAGGGGGATACGTCGGCGTAATCATTCCTTGCCCATAACCTAATAGATAGTTGTATGAGATTGGTTTTAATTCGGTTATTTCTTATTTTGGCGAGTTACCAACAGCAATTTGACGTATGCCGCCATCTTTTTTGTTCGGAGCTATTAGGCTGCCCCAAATAAAACAGGCCTGATTCGTCTTTAAGAACTTTGTTTAAAAGGTTGGTTAAGTTTATTAATAAGCATTTGCTTGACAGGAAGGTGGGTTTTAGGAAGTCATATGTTAAAAATAATAAAATATAAAAATATATAATTTAATTTACAATTGTTTTCTTATTTTAAAAAAATATATTAATTTAAAGAAAAACATATTTTTGTAAAGATCATTTTTTTGTGGAATCATTTTTTCATGGAATCCTTTTTATTATATTTTAAAGTAGTCCATTTTTTGTAAAACTTTTAAAATTTTCTGGTAAAATTTTGAAGGTTTTTATAAATGATAGCGTTGTTAAATGGCTTGATTTAGGCCGATTTTTAAAAACGGCTAACTTAATATTTTGGCCAAAAAAATATCGCCTACACCTTCAAATTTCATTAATATATGCCTAGACCTTTGTGCCTTCTACGAACAAAATCTTCAGGCTGGCTTAATATATTTTTGGATAAAATATTGAGTTAGCCGTTTTTAAAAATCGGCTCAAAACGAGCCGTTTAACAACACAAATAAATGATGAATAATAATTTATATTTTATGAATTTTATTGTTGTAGGCCAAATTACGTCCGAACTTCGCGATGGATGCTTTAAACAATTCTACATATATGACTGATTTCGTCAAGCTGGATTTCCCTAAATTTAGTAACGATGACAGCGCCTACATAGGGAAATTGCAGAATGTTTTCGACACCAGCAAGATCTCCAACGGAGAAAAGGCCGCGTTGTTTCTCCGAAGTCTTCTAGATGACGAATTCAATAACATTGGAGTCATTTGCAAGGAGGCAGACTTCCAGGACCCAATCATCCGTCGAAGACTGAGAACGCTAAACTCTCATTATTTTATGCTGCCACTCAAGGCAAGGATGAGACGTTCTCGGCTTGGATCACACGCGTATCAAGACTCAATAAAGAATGCAAATTCAATGGCATTCAGCGTATTATTGAGAAAGTGAGAGTTGCTTTGAATTCTAAAGATGTCAGGAAAGCTGTCAGAAGCTCTATGGCTATAGAAGACATTTACAATCTAGGTCTAGAGGAGACACCACGGAGCCAAGTGATATCAAGGGTGTGATGAAAGTTGAAGCCATTTATTTGACTGAATCACCTGGAGTACAAGAGCTTAACACATGGGCAGAGTCAAAAATAGCTACGTAACCTTAAAACCCATTCAGGACTCTCATACACATGGTAAATCTCTTATCAAACAACCCCAGTTCATCAATGACTATCGCCACGGACAACATTTCGATGAACTTTACAAACGTTGCGACTACTGCCGCGACAAACGATTTGATGAACGTTACAGGATACGTTACGACAACGGCCGCGACAAACGATTTGACGGACGGCACGGTAACTTCCACAACAATCGTTTTGATCAAAGCTACGATAATTGTCACTATAACCGCAACCGTTTCGACAATCGCAACGATAACTACTACGATGATCGATACAACAATAGCGAGAACGTCCATGGCAATCGCCACGACTATCATTGTGACCATCTTCAAAGCCCTGATCGACGGGATGACTGCTATAGAGGTGATAACAGAACTCACAGACACAACCCTCAAAATATTAATGATTTTCTGAAATATTCGTCGAGGCCCAACCAGTATAAAAATGATAATAATACCTACAAGCAACAGATCTTCTGATTACAAAGATCGTGATTGTCAATTGAATACCAACCATGCTATGAACATCGAAGTAATCGATGATGACGACCATCTAAACACAGTCCTTAAAGAATATAATCTTCAGAACCTTGAAGTGTGCAATCTGGGGGTCTACGACACCAGATATGAGGCGTACAACGTAACTGTCAGCATCAACAACATACCCACGTTGATGCAAGGAGACACCGGTACTAGGTACACTAAACTTCTGAAGCTGACAGCTAAGACTGTAGGAATAACCACGATATGTAAGACGGATATGAAACTCACTGGTTATGACGGAAGCGCCATCAAGATATTAGGTCTTGCCAATGTAAATGTTAAGTATGAAGGAACATACACTGGTGGCCATTGTAGTAGAAAGTGATAAGGTTCCCCTGCTAGGACGTATGTGGTTACACGCCTTCAATAACATACAAAATCGTTCGTTGTAGGTAACATAGATGATGATCTTGAAATGGTTATATCGGTAATGAAAGAGAAATGGACTTGGGACGAAAGTCACAAAAAAGTTTTGATGAATTGAAACTGCTCATGAGTCAACCACCAACGTTAAGCTATTTTAACCCCAACCTACCTATGGGCATTGCGGCAGATATATCCAAGCGAGGACTGGGAGCTGTATTTATATAGAAAATGGCGGGAAAGAAAGGCCTATAGCTTTTGCCTCGAGGTCATTGTTGAAGGCTGAGATCAACTATACAAACATAGAGAGAGAAACATTAGCAATAATCTTTGTCATAAAGAGGTTCCAAAAATATCTTATTGGAACGAGGTTCACAATAATAACAGATCACAAGCCACTGATTTACATCTTCATCAAAGGATTTAAAGATAACACTGCCATGTCAATGAGA